ATGGCTGGGGAATTCTGGGAGTTGAAGTCCACAAGTCTTAAAGTTGCCAAGTTAGGAGACCTCTGATTTATGTTACAAAACATTCCTTAGACTTGACAAGGCTTCCTCTGGCCTAAGCATGTGCATCTTCTGGTGGGAGAGAAATGCAATTTTGGCACATTTTTTAAAATTATGTTTCAGCCTTTTTTAAGGCAAGATAAGATAAGACGATAAGATAAGATAAGATAAGATAAGATAAGATAAGATGATAAGATAGAAAAGATAAGATAAGGTAGGATAAGATAAAATAAGATAAGATAAGACGAGACAAGGCAAGGCAAGATAAGATGAGGCGGGGTGAGGCGTGAGGTGAGGTGAGATAAGAGAAGATGAGATGAGATACAGTAAGGTAAGGTAAGGTAATTAAAGGTAAGGTAAGGTAGAGTAGGATAGGATAGGATAGGATAGGATAGGATAGGATAGGATAGGATAGGATAGGATAGGATAGGATAAGGTGAGGAGGTGAGATGAGATGAGATGAGATGAGATGAGATGAGATAAGATAAGATATAATATAAGATAAGATAGCCTTTATTGACATTTTTTACTGTGGACACAAGACACAGATCAAAAATGAAATTTATCTAATGAAATGAAAATATCTAATGGAAGCACCAGACCTGGTTTGGTAGTTTACTCATTTTTTGGCTTTGAATCGAACTTTCTGTATATCATTAGTTATATTTCCTTACTTTGATTGAAGTTTAACCTGATAATGTTTATTGTGTTTGTTAGTTAAGAGGTAGGCTCTAAAACAGGGGTGGACAACTATGGCCCCTTTATGGACTTCAACTCCCAGAACAGCTGAGCCATTTCTGAATTGATGTCTACAGTTGACGTAAAGGGGACATGGTTGCCCACCCCTGCTCTAAAATCAACTCTCCATTCATTGAGGCAAGATGGTCATTACATACTTACTCTCAAATATTTATAAAAACTATATAATGTTATGTCTTCTCTGTCATTGTACTTCATATTTAAGTACGCACAACAGCTTAAATATTAATGAGATGGAGTTAAAGAATAAACTCTCACTGATCTCTCTAAAACCCTGTTAAGCTGTGAGAGACATAGATTCAATTCATTCATTATGCTAAGCCATGATGAGCTTAGCCTAACTTTGTTGAATAGAGTAGAGTAGAGTAGAGTAGAATAGAATAGAATAGAATAGAATAGAATAGAATAGAATAGAATAGAATAGAATAGAATAGAATAGAATAGAATAGAACAGAACCTTGGAGGTCTTCTAGTTCAGCTCCCCTGCTCAAACAGGAGAACCTATATCATCTCAGGTGGATGTCCAGTCTCTTCTTAAAAACCTCCAGTGATGGAGCTCCCATGATCTCTGGGGTAAGCTGTTCCACTGGTTGATTGTCCTCACTGTCAGGAAATTTCTCCTTAGTTCCAGGTTGCTTCTCTCTTTGGTCAGTGTCCAAACATTATTTCTCATCCTTCCATCTAGTGCTTTGGTGAACAACCTGGCCCCCTCAGATACTGGAACAAGTATAATAAGTGACAATTTACCAGATCCACACGATACACTAAAGCCTGGCTTACATATCATGGTGACTAGGTTCTTCAAACAAGTAAACCACATTTTAGCTTGGTAGGATGCATAGATCTGGCTACTGTTTAGTTAACTCCAAGTGCTACCATTCAATAAATGAAGTTTAATTGGATTATGAATCAATCCTGCAGAAGTGAAAAGGTTTTCCAAGATATCTTGTTAAATTTTTAACTTTATTTGGAGTACACCTTGTACTTTGAACAATAATCCCAGTATTTGCCTTAAACTTAATTTTAGACAGAACCTGTCGGTTCCATTATAGTTATGCCACACTCTCCTTTCCAGTTCTGCGGAAAATTTAGCTAATCCAATCAATTAAAAAGAAACTTTGCAGAACTTTTGCATGAATTTCTAATTAATCACAGGATTTCAATTCGGACAAACTGTTTGGTGACTCAGAGGTAGTTTTACACCTTGATGTAAAAGTAAAGGTCATTCATGAAAGCTCATGGGACAAAACAGATACAAATTTGCATTACCTTTGCAGTATTTTGCTTTATAAACACATCTTATTATTTATTATTATTGAATTTGTACATTGCCTAACTTCAAGCCACTCTCACTATGGTAAATGATTTGAAGAACAGTCAAGGGAGCTAGGTATGTCTAATCCAGTGTTTCTCAACCTTGACCATTTTAAGGCATGTGGACTTCAACTCCCAGAATTCCACAGCCAGCAATGCTGGCTGTGGAATTCTGGGAGTTGAAGTCCACATGCCTTAAAATTGTCAAGGTTGAGAAACACTGGTCTAATCTATTGAAGAAGGAACAGAGTGGACATGGTACCTGTCTTCTAGTACTTGAAGGGCTTGCCCAGAGAAGAGGGGATTGACCTATTCTACAAAGGACCTGAAGGGAGGACAAGAAGTAAGATGGAAGCTTATCAAAGAAAGATCCAACCTAGAAGTAAGGAGAAATTTCCTGACAGTGAGAACAATTAATCAACAAAAGAGCTTTGCCTCCTGGAATTGTGGGTGCTCCATCACTGGAAGTTTTCAAAAATAAACTCGATAGCTATTTGTCCAGGATCGTATAAGATCTCCTGTCTTAAGCAAAGGGTTAGACTAGCATACCTCTAAGGTCCCTTCCAGCCCTATGATTCTATTTTCTATATGAAAAAAATCAAATTGAATTATTTTAGATTTCACTGCAGTGGGAAGAGAAGTCAGAGCCTCTGTTCCTGGCCTGGGCCCTGCCTGAATCCCATTTAAAACTGTCTAGATCCTTCCTGTGAACGTTTTCACATTATCATATTTATGAGGTTATGTTTATGAGGAAAAGTTAACAATCTGATGCTGAATCAGTCCGTCATCAAAACAAAGAGCAAACAGAAACTATATCTCTTAGACCAGTGGTGGCAAACCTAAGGCACGGGTGCCAAAGGCAGCACTCAGAGCCCTCTCTGTGGGCACGTGCGCCATCACCCCAGTCCTACGCCTTCAGCTGGGTTTTATAAAACCTTTTTGCTTTAGGCCTCCACCGCCGTGTGCAAAAAAAAAAAGAGGTTCAATCAATCAGTCATTTTCAACTTCTCGCGGGGAAAAAAAAGATCGTGCAAAGTTGGAATTGATTGATTGAACTTTTTAGTCCCACCCAGTCTGCTGTTACCACCACAGCCATGCCCACCCAATGGGCCACACCCACCCGGCACCCGACGATGCATAAGTGAGTTTTGGGTTGCAGTTTGGGCACTCGGTCTCTAAAAGGTTCGCCATCACTGTCTTAGACTGTCAGATTTTTTTTTTTTTTTGTTACAGCTCTACGGTTCTTCTGATTAAGAAGTACTTCATGCTAGGAACAAGTCTTTCAGACCTTTGATTAGTCAGATTTATGAAGAAGAATGTTAAGCTAGCAACAGGCGAGTTCTGGAGAGAATTGTATTTTAAACTAAACAACCTATCTGTAGGCAGAATAGTCTCCGGTGCTTTTTCGTCTGGTTCTTTGAAACAAAAAAGAAGGGGAGGTTTGTCTCAGGTGAATGTGGTGGTCTGCACCTATTGATTATTTTAGAAATGGTTGCTAGATTCCTTTTCAAGGTGAGAAATGGCTCCCAAGCTGTTCCTAAGAGATCTCTAGCCTTTTATGTAGAATGGAAAGGAGAAAAGGAGGCAAAGAGTATGAATATTGATTGTTACAAATAGAATTGCAATGGATATCAGCAGTTCCTGGAATTCTTTCTTAATGGTTTCTTAACTCTGCTGTAATAAATCACTTTTCAGAAGTTCCCAGATTCATGTGGGTCTGTATAATTAGTTTCAGACTAGCCAGCTGAGTAGAAAACTGACTCCTGCTCTACTCATTTCTTCAGCCTCTTTAAACCAAATATGAACTAGACAGCTCTTCAATTAAAGGATATCTTCAAATAAAAGAACTATACCAAATCCTCATTTTGGTTTCCTGTCCAACATTTACCGTTCAGCCTATATTCTATGGTGAAATTAGAATTACTAGCAGAAAGCTGTAAATATATCACTGAGATCCATATGTAAAGATTACAGTTAGTATCAATAGATTCAGATGTAGTACAGCAGTGTTTCTCAACCTTGACAATTTTAAGGCATGTGGACTTCAACTCCCAGAATTCCACAGCCAGCATTGAGTTGAAGTCCACATGCCTTAAAATTATCAAGGTTGAGAAACACTGCAGTACAGTGACATTCAGGTAAAAGTAATCTGCTAAGAGTTGCTTTCAATGACATGAGTGCCTTTGTTTGTTTCTTTGTTTGTTAAATGTATTTAGCAATCCAACTCACATTAAGGTGACTTCAGGTGGCTTACAACATTTAAAAAAATCCACCATATAATAAAATGTGATTAAATCAACACAAACCCTCCCTTTTTCCTCTCACCCAGAAAACCATTGGAAGTTAAGGCCCACACATTTCAAAGTTGCCCAAAGTTGAGAAACACTACTTTCCTAAATGGAAATGATACAGATCAGTTTCATCCTACTCATCCCATCTGGATTTTTTTTCATCCCAAACTCAGGCCAATCAAAGCAGCCCATCTTCAACTTCTACCAAAAGATCTATCAGAATCCAGAAATAAGTCAATGAAGACTCAATCATCCAGGCCAAAAAGGTTGAATCACGGCAACTGGACCAAAATTTGATCCAGTTGCCCTGATTCAACCTTTTAGAACCCAGAAATGGTTTTGGGCTGGGTTAAAAAAACCAACCCTTTTCTTTCCCGTGTAACACACAATACCCTATCCTTGTCCACTGTTGTTCATTTGAGAATATGACAAAGTTGAAGAAGCAGACTTCATTTAGTAAAGCCTACTACTATTCACACGGGCTAAGCCTTGGCCCTGTTGAATGCTGAACGATCCACCATTTTCAGAAACAGAAGGAAAAAAGTATTGAACACCTGTTGCATTTTTGTCTTTGTTTAGTGCCGGGGTTCCCGTATCCAGCTGCAACTGCAGCTGCCGCGTACCGAGGAGCTCACCTTCGGGGCAGAGGTCGCACCGTCTACAACACATTTCGTGCCGCAGCACCCCCACCTCCAATTCCAGCTTATGGCGGGTAAGTTGTTAGTCGCCCTGGGCGTCTTCAGCCTGTTGCTCTGCAGCTTCCATCTTCTACTACTTCCCTACAGGGAGGAGCCCCCCCCAAAAAAAGGCAATCGAGCATTTGTGAATGCCAGGCACAACCATTTTGTCTCGCCACACCAACCTCGCACAGCGTGGAGCCAATCTCAGTCTCCTGAAGTGGATCACCTTGCACACGGGGGTTGACAAATGATAGTAATTTGCCCTGTCATGGTTGGTGGCTTTCAAGCATTTTGTGCGTCCCATGTTGTTATGCAAATTCCCCTTGAGGGGGAACGCCAGGGAGAGGAAATGCATGGGAGCAGAGCCGGGTTGGAGGGCGATGGCAAACATCTGGTTCTTGAGGAGGTAGAATCATATTTTAAATCTATTTTTAAAGAGAAAATTTGACTTGTAACCCAGAAGGATTTAATGTATTATTACAGTTAACAACAAAATGATGACTACATAGAAAGCTCGTATGTGCTCTAGGTTTGTAGCAAAGAGGGTAAAGCTTGTGGAGAACTGCCCAGCCAAACGTATAAATTATTGTGGAGGAAAGGCTGTCTCTTGAAATGCCACACATTTATTTCTCCCATACAAGATAATATTGTTTATTCACTCAACTAGGAGATTAAGGAGAAGGCAATCCCCCATGTTGGCTGGGGAATTCTGGGAGTTGAAGTCTACAAGTCTTAAAGTTGTCAAGTTGGGAGACCCCTGCAATAGGACCATTAGAGACTACCTGCTCTAGATGTTGATGAATCCAGTCCTGTCCAACCATAGAAAAATTAGCCCATTGGTCTTAGGCTTTTCTTTGTCTTCTTTCCATTTCTTGAAGCATGTATAGCAGGGCAAAATATAGAGAACTGTGGTCTCTAGCTTTCTTGAAACAGAAGCATAAGTCTGGAGAGAAGTTACTTTCACTTATTTGCAAAGTGTCTCAGAAGCCATGGTAGTAACAAGGCAGCAGATCAATTGGGACAGTCTTCCCCCCTTTTTTTTCCTCTTGGATTTGAAAAAGAAAAAGAAGAATGCCTTTGTTAAAACGATGAGCTGAAATGGCTGGCCAAATCACTCATCTTCCACTGCTGAAGGTAGATTGGACTCTGAGACACCATCCAGATCTAGTCAAGTGATCTAAGGGGCAAGGGAGGATCCCACCATTGTAAAAAGAGTGTGAATCTAATTCAGTGGAGAACTGCCCAGCCAAACATATAAATTATTGTGGGGGAAATAATTTATTTCCAAACATATAAATTATTGTGGGATTCAAATATGTCAACAACCGGTTCTCTGTGTGGATACCACTTCCGGAAGTCCATTCTGGGCCTGGGCAACAAAAAATTAGCTACCGGTTCTGCCGAACTGGTGCAAACTGGCTGAATCCCACCACTGGTCTAATTGGAACAACTTCACACTCTATAATTATCAGAAGAAACAATAAAACACAAGGGAGATTCCAGTTCAAAGCTTAGGAAAACTCCATTTAAACCTGAAGTTGTTATTTTTCACGTTGTCTGGAAGGCTGGAGCAAAATATATCAGTTGGCAGTCTCAGACAGTCAGCTACTTCCATATTATCCACAGATAGATGGAATTTTGACTTGGCTTTATTTGTTAATCTAAAAATCACAAACCAAGTAAATGTGAGAGTACAGACTTATTTTACTCTCTTCCCATTTTATCACGGTTCAGCTGAGCTTAGAAAATGATGGGAGGGAATCCTCCCAAATTGAAACTGAAATTTTGATTCTGACTTTAGCCTCATTATGGCTGTCCATACTTTTCCTACTTCTGTTTACAAGGACTACAGGTAGTCCTGGACATACAACCATAATAGAGGCTTCCCATCACAATCGTAAGTTGTGACTGTCATAAAGCAGATCACCCACGTGACCAGGCTGATCTTACGGCCCTTATTGCAGCAATTGTTAAGCGAATGCCAAGGTTGTAAAGCAAATGCTAAGTTGCAAGGTGAAAACCTTGTTTACGGTGGGGCCAGCTTTGCTGAAAATTAGAAGTAAATGACAACATGTGGTTACATGATTGTAGTGGGCTGGGGGTGGGGGCAACCATCAAACCTTTAGAACTGGATCGTAAGTATTCCTGGGGAGATCTATCATAACTTTGAACATTCGCTAAGCAACTGAAGAAGATGACCAGGCTGAGCCTGAGGGAGAGTCAAATACATCATCAATCTCGAGTCCCACATGAGATCTAAGTCCAGCCCACTGCAAATTCCTTATCTACCGCCAATTTGCTTTGGCTGTTAGTGGTTCAGATTCTTGTTCAGAGAGCTTTAACATACAATAAATCTTGATACTAGTCTGAACTGCCTGGATTTTCTGATTTCCATGACATTGGACAGCAACTGTAGGGAAGTGATTTTGATTGTGACTGATTTGGAGGAGGATGTGTGTGTTAAATCTTCCCGATAATAAGTTCTTAAAACTTCATTTTTTTCCCCAAGTAGGACACTCATCTTGAGACAGAGGAAAACCATTTTAACAAATGGAGAACAGATGTACAATTATTATAGTGGAAAAAAGCACTGTTTGATGGAATGTTGAGAACAGTTGCAAAATATAATGACACACTATACAATATGTTGCTTTCAGAATTACATTCCATCATTTTTTTTCCCTGTTACATTTTTTTTCCTTTCACATACATAAAATCAAGATCAGAAGATGCTTTCGGTCTCAACCGAGAACAACTTTTTATGGTTTGTCATTAATCCTGGACTGTAGTAGAAAGAGAGATAGTGTTCTATCAGTTTTTCAGATGAGTATACATTATTTTCTGGGAATAATAAAAAAAGAATCCTTCTTTATTGTTCTGTACAACTTTTCTACACAGGCAGGTTTTGGAAAACAATTTTTCACAGAGGGAGAACCAAGTTCCTAAAATTCTTGTGTTTTTAAAAATGTAACTACTATATTTTCCCAATAATAAGATCTAACCCATCCTGATTTTTCAGGATGCTCATAATATAAGCCCTACACCCCAAAATAAACCACAGTTAAGATCATCAGCCAGACAGATGCATTTAGTACTGTATTTTCCCTTAATATAAGACCTAACTGAAAAATAAGTCCTAATGCTTCTTTTGGAGCAAAAATTAATATAAGACCCGGTCTTATTTTTGAGGAAATACGGTATTCTTAAGATGGGTTTATATCTTATTCTCTCATGTAAATCCCTCAAATATATCCTGTGCTGTACATTTTTTTCTCTCCAGAAAATAAGTAGGCTGAGAACTTCAAATTTTATATTCTTAGGGTACTTCTATATTGACTCCAAGGTCCAATGTATTGAGTGTAATTCAAGATACCAGAACAGAGGACCAAATAACAACTAGCAGGTTGAAATAAAAAGGAAAAAGATTCAGGATGAACCTTAAGTTTTTCCTGAAGTCCTCTTCACGACCATTTTGAGTCTATTCATGATAGGATGGTCCTTGAAATTGAATTAATAAGTAAATAATGCATGCATTTAAAGGAATTTCCCAACAACAAGAGTTTTGAGATAGTAAAACAACCAGTCAAGGAAAGTAGTGGTTTTTCTTTGCTGAAGGTTTTTAAATGACTTTAGTTTGGGGTTCTTTACACTTCTTTTGGACCATAAGAAAGGCTGAGCACCAAAGAATTGAGGCCTTCGAACTATGATGTTGGAGAAGACTCCTGCGAGTCCCCTGGATTGCAAGGTGATCAAACCGGTCAGTCCTGGAGGAGATCCACCCTGACTGCTCTTTAGAAGGCCAGATCCTGAAGTTGAAATTCAAGTACTTTGGCCACCTAATGAGAAGGAAGGACTCACTGGAGAAGGACCTAATGCTGGGAAAGATTGAGGGCAATAGAAGAAAGGGACGACAGAGAATGGATAGAGTCACTGAAGCAGTAGGCGTGAGCTTAAATGGACTCTAGAAGATGGTAGAGGACAGGAAGGCCTGGAGGAATGTTGTCCATGGGGTCACATTGGGTCAGACACGACTTCACAACTAACAACAAAAAGAACACACTTCTTTTCCCAACAAAACCAGTGGAGAGATTCTTTCTCTTGCTCATTTAGAGTTTCTTTCCCAGATTTTCCACTTCTTCAGGACCAAGTATCTTCTCTGAAACTCTCCCCATAATACTTTGCTCATTTTTTCCCCCCTCCAGTCCCATGGTATTCTTTTACATAGTTTTTCCTCACAACAGCATCCCGTTGAGGTAAATTGGCACGAGTGAGAATGACTGGCACAACTGTGGTCAATTCTGTGGCTGAGGAGAGAATTAAACTTAGATTTAATTGCTTTTAGATCATGTAATGTAATTACACAGTCCCCAGGAGTCATCCAAGGCAGCCCTTTCTTGCAAATATTTGGGATGGATGGCAATGCAGATTATTAGAACGAGTGCTGTATTCAGTGCTGGGATTCAGCCAGTTTGCACCACTTCGGCAGAACTGGTAGCTAATTTTTTTGTTGCCCAGGCCCCGAACGGACTTCCAGAAGCAGCATCCACACAGAGTACTGGTTGTTCACCTATTTGAATCCCACCACTCCTTCCTTCCTTCCTTCCTTCCTTCGTTCCTTCCTTCCTTCGTTCCTTCCTTCCTTCCTTCCTTCCTTTCTTCTTTCCTTCCTGTGGTGGATTCAGTCAGTTTGCACCACTTTGGCAGAACCGGTAGCTAATTTTTTGTTGCCCAGGCCCCGAACGGACTTCCAGAAGCGGCATCCACACAGAGAACCGGTTGTTCACATATTTGAATTCCACCACTGGCTGTATTGCTACCAAGAGACCTTTGTAGCTTTGCATTTCAGGGGAATATTTGGGGAGAAAAATATTGAAAAGTTGTTTTTATCCCTACTGGTCTTTTTGACAAATAATTCCTGTTATGCAAGACGTTCAATATTCTTTAGAACGCAGCTTCAAAATGCAGGTTTAAACAAATTCTAGACAGCTGAAAAACCCAGCTGAAGATATATTCAATTAGGTCCTTTCATTTAGATCTTTCCCTCAATGCATAATGATCTGAGCTGAGGTGATCATTTCCACAAAGATGTATACGAGTGTGTTGCCTTGTAAAAAATAAAAAGGGTTGCCAAAAATTGGGTAGGCCAATGGAAGATGGTGGTATCACACATGCCCCCTTATACCACAGTGGTGTGGAACAGAGTACAGTTATTCCTTGACTTACAACAGTTCATTTAGTGGCCTTACAAAGTTACAACAGCACTGGGAAAACATGACATTTTCCACATTTGTATTTCACATTTTTCACAACCATTGAAGCGATGGTTGCAGTGTCCTGGGTCATGCGACCCGTTTTGCTATCTTCAGACAAGCAAAAATCAATGGGGAAGCCAGATGCACTTAATGAGCTTGTTAATAACTTAGTAACTGCAGTGATTCATTCAGTAGTTGCGGCAAGAAATTGACTTCATCCCTGTCTCGCTTAGCAACAGAAATTTCTGGCTTAATTGTGATCATAAATTGAGGATTATCTGTACATACAACCAGTCATTTGGTCTCCAACACAAGTGATAACCTCATGACTGGCATCTAGACTGGTGAAGAACGTTTTGCTCTCCTGCTGAATTAGGGATGGACCCCCCCCCCTTCACCTCCCCTTGTGGCTCAGCTGTTGCCATGTGTGAAGGGGGCTTCTCTGCCTATCAATGGAACAGGTGCTATGCTAGAATGCCAAAGCAGGATAGGATATCGCGTCTGCAACAATCTGTGAAGTTTGGCCAAGTTAGTTGAGGTGCTGTGGGAATATCTGAAACTCAATGTTGAAAATCCTAGGTTGGTGTATTGAAAGATGTAACCCCAGCATAAAACACCTGTATATTAGTGGCCAGATGTTAATGCTACTAGTTTTCTTTCTTCTGAAAAAAACAAAACAAAAACCAAAAACAAGGAACTTTCAGGTCGATTTGAGACATGGAAAGGGTGCCCCATCTCATGTAAATTCTATAATGTATCTATATCCTTATATATTCTTTGTTTGTGTTTCAGTTTGTTTTTCTTTCTTTCCTGTTCCATTGTTGTTGTTGTTCTTGTGATATGATTAACCTGAAGAGTTTCAGGGGTTGGTAGCATCTGCATGTGGAAAAGCACTAATATGAATGTTTTTCTTTGTGTGTGCATCTTTCCAGTGTTGTTTACCAGGATGGATTTTATGGTGCAGACATTTATGTAAGTATTGATTGATGTGCATGCTGTTTGTAGTACCTACAATTGCTGGAACCATTTTTTTTTTTTTTTTTTTTTTTGCTTTTGTTCTTCTTACCTACGTTGTATGTGTGCTGCATTAAAGCTTTGGCTCTGTCTTTCTCCATGTTGCCATGTATGGAAATTCAATTGGAAGAATTACTGAGTATGGAATAGCTTGATGTCCATTGCATCAATTGCCATCTGGCTGCATTCACTACTTGGGGGTCTTGTAGAAGGTCCAATGGGTGAATCTGAGCTTGGATTGGCCACATGTTCTCATCTGAGAAGGCTCCTATGTCCAGAAGGGCAAAGCATAGGCAAATCAAAAAGATCAAGCATCCCACCCCATTGTTTCATTCCCATGTCAGCACAGCTACCTCAGATGACCAAGTGATGGGTTAGAAAGAGAGGCACACCATTCTCACCATGTCTTCTCCTTGCTCCTTCACTTACTCTTTCAGTAGGCAGGCACACAGCTTCAGAAGAAGAGTTATAGGACTCCATCAGCCTCCCCTTGGCTGAACCTCAACTTCTGCAACCCTCTGCTTTCTCCATTCTTAGCTTATGTCTCAGACAGCCAAAGGCTGCTCATTGGCACATTGGATTGGGAGACCTAGTCAACCACCCTTAAATTGAAGAGATAGAACTCCTGGGGGACCAATAAAGATTGGTTATCCTTCATGGGTGAAGAAAACTTTTTGATGGGAAACATATAATAATAATAATAATAATAATAATAATAATAATAATAATAATAATAATAATAGTGATAGGCTCTTTGGATGCAATCCCAAAACAACTGGAGCACCACTTGAACACCATCGGCATTGACAAATTCGCTATTAGTCAATTGCAAAAGGCAGCCTTACTAGGAACTGCTTCCATCCTGCGACGATACCTGTAATACCATCCAACATCCACATCTGCCTATCCCAGGTCCTGGGTAAGGACTCGATAGGTAGACAAAATGCCAAATCCAGTCTGAACGTCTGGCTGACTGTGCGATGATCCATAATAATAATAATTATGATGATGATGATGATGATGATGATAAAGTTGGAAGGCACCTTGGAGGTCATCTGGTCCAACCCCCCCCCACTCAGGCAGGAAACCCTATACCATTTCGAACAAATGGCTGTCCAGTCTCTTCTTAAAAACTTCCAGTGTTGGAGCATTCACCGCTTCTGGAGGCAGGTTGTTCCATTGGTTAATTGTTCTAACTGTCAGGAAGTTTCTCCTTAGTTCTGGATTGCTTCTCTCTTTAGTTAGTTCCCATCCGTTGCTTCTTGTCCTGCCTTCAGGCGCTTTGGAGAATAGCTTGACTCCTTCTTCTTTGTGGCAGCCCCTGAGATATTGGAACACTGCTATCATGTCCCTCCTCGTCCTTCTCTTCGTTAAACTAGACATACCCAATTCCATGATCTTCATGATGAAAAGTTAACTCAGTGGGCAAGCTTGGAACCATAAGAGAGGGGTTTTTTTTTTCATCTTATTTGAAGACATTGAGAAGATGTTTTGGATAACAATCACCTTAATATCTCAAATGGACTTCTTTAAATGTAGTTTATATTACATTTATTGGTAATTAAACAGCATCTTCTTCCACAAGAAAGATAAATTCTCCTTCACTCAAGCAAAATGAACTACAAAAAGTCCTCTTTATATACCAGATACAGATTTAAAAGCAGTGACACTTTTTTTTGGGGGGGGGTATCAATAAAGTCAAAAAAGTGGGTGTGACCCACCCATTTTGCATGTATTCTGTAGATGAGATGTTAAAAGGCAAGATAACTATTGATGCTTAGGACATCCCTGGATATGTTCTTCCTAAATCCTCTGCAGCATCCTTCCTAACCCAAGGATTATCCCAAATTAACTTTTCTTTTTAATGTCCAAAGCTTCATCAAGTTGTGAGATATCTCAAGATGTCATGGATGTGTATCAATCATAGAGGCTTCAAAGTGATGGCAATGCATGAAACAAAAAATAGCACCATCACCTTTGTGAATTGCAGTCATTACATAGTTCAAAGCACCAATCCTCCAAAACTGAAAGGATATTTCAAACAGCCTGAGAACATGGTAGAATAACCAAAGTCTCACAAGAAATGAAATCCTGAAATTTTACAAGGTAGATTCTCGTGAGACTGAACGTCCAGTTAAGTGACAATAAACTCTCAACGGCTGTTTTGAGATTGAAGGAGGTTGAATGCTATTATTTGATTAAAACCCACTCCCTAAATAAATGGCTTTGCTTTCCAGATCTCCATAAAATAAAATGTCTTTGTTTGATATGGCACGGGGTTTCCTACCTGAGCATGGACTAGAAGACTCTGTTATTCTGTTAAAATAGTTGTCATTTGCCAGTCTCCACTGTTAGGCCTCTTTTCAGATAAAATATAAGATAAAAACTTTCCGATCTTAAAAATAGAAATAAGTAAATCTCATTTGTGTTACTACATTGAGCTTTTTGTACCCTAATTGTGTTGCTGATGCATCGCCAATGTTGCGATATCAAGAGATTGATTGCATTAAAGTGAAAGAAACATTAAAAATTCATTAAGTAGTACTTGGGGGAAAAAATCCCATAATTTTTATTTATTACCTATAGCTACTTTTGAGACGTTTAAATTGAAATCATTTACATATCCTGTGGATGGAAGAGAGAAGAGTCTAAAATGTTTTTTTAAAAAAATGAGAATATGGTAGTAGTAGCAGTAATGGTAGTAATACCAAGCAGCAACTGTGTATTTTGTGGAGAAAAACCACTCTGAAAAATTGAGAGCAACAGAGAGGTACGGGAGAGAAATCAGCCACATATTTCAATAGCTGCTATAGGGAACGGTGTTGCTATAGATTTGAGTTTTCCCACTCTGACCCATTTGCAAAACTATTGAATTAACATTCCCATGGAAAGTCTCAATAATTACCAGAGTGTTTTGCAGGTACTCAAAGTAAGCACCCATCCCATTCATAAATCCTATTGGTGGGGAGGATTAGACAAAGTGGTATCCATGGATATTTCTTAAGGTGATTGTAGGTCTTTCTGTTCACCCAAGTTTAATTATTATTATTTTTAAATGTATTTTATTAGATTTTATATGGGTAGGGAAAAGGTGGGGTCTGTGCGGGTACAGGAAAATCGGGATAAAAGGGACAGGGTGTGGATAACTACAGTAAATACGTAATTCAGCGAACAAGCTGTCGTCCGGGTCTTCATATTGAGTATTATTGTTTATATAATACTAGACATTTATAAGAATAAATCGGTATAATTACAACTGACATTTGGTAAAACAGTAATATTCCTTTAAATCACTCTTTAATGCCTTGGTAAGGCCACACTTGGAATACTGCATCCAGTTTTGGTCACCATGATGTAAAAAAGATGTTGAGACTCTAGAAAGAGTACAGAGAAGAGCAACAAAGATGATTAGGGGACTGGAGGCTAAAACATATAAGGAACGGTTGCTAGAATTGGGTATGTCTAATTTAACGAAGAGAAGGACAAGGGGGGACATGATAGCAGGGTTCCAATATCTCAGGGGCTGCCATAAAGAAGAGGGAATTAAGCTATTTTCCAAAGCACCTGAAGGCAGGACAAGAAGCAACGGGTGGAAACTAATCAAGGAGAGAAGCAACCTAGAACTAAGGAGAAACTTCCTGACAGTGAGAACAATGAATCAGTGGAACAGCTTGCCTCCAGAAGCAGTAAATGCTCCAACACTTGAAGTTTTTAAGAAGAGACTGGACAGCCATTTGTCCGAAATGGTGTAGGGTTTCCTGCCCGAGCAGGGGGTTGGACTAGATGACCTCCATGGTCCCTTCCAACTTTACTATTATTATTATTAAATAATTAACATAGTTGATAGCATAACAACTATTCCCAATCATCAAGCTTAATACTTAATATAATAAAGCTCTAAAATCTCTTTTTATTCTAACGTGTTTCAACCCACTGATAAAATTTTCCCCAAGTTTTATAGAAGACTGAATCCTCTTTCTCCTTCACCTCTAACGTTAATCTGTCCATTTCTGCTCAATCTAGGATTACCCAAGTTTAATTATTGTTAGACTACCCTATGACCAGTTGGGCTATCCTTTGAGAGAAAGCTAAGGCAGTCTGATGTAACCAGAAAGAACATTAATGTTTAGGCTGGTCATATTTTTTTACTCCAGTGCTAGATGGTATGTGATCATTTACAAACCAGAACAAATTTGGAAGGGACCTTGGAGGTTTTCTAGTCCAACCCCCTCTTCAAGCAGGAGACCCTATGCCATTCCAGACAAATGGCTATCCAGTCTTTTTTTAAAAACCTCCAGTGATCGATCACCCACAACTTCTGGAGGCAAGCGGTTCCACTGGTTAATTGTCCTCACTGTTAGGAAATTTCTCCTTAGTTCTTGGTTACTTCTCTCCTTGATGAGTGTCCATCCATTGTTTCTTGTCTTGCCTTCTGGTGCTTTGGAAAATAGGTTGATACCATCTTTGTGGCAGTCCTTCAAATATTGGAACACAACTATTGTTGTGTTCAGCCCTAGTTCTTCTTTTCACTAGACAAACCCAATTCTTCCTATGTTTTAACCTCCAGCCCCTTATCATCTAAGAATAATATATATCATAAATAGAAAAAAAATAATTGTAGTGGCAAACAAATTTGAATAATATGTCAATATTTATTAACCTAAAGAGATAAACAGAATGACCATGGATGGGAAGGGGGAATAAATGGTGAGAACAGGAGTAACATCTGACTTCCTGGTGGCTTGCCCATTGCCCATACTTGTGGGAAGCTGGCAGGGAGAATCAGAAATTATGATCAGGTTACGACAGCTGCAGTGCAACATCCACAACTTTGCATACCACACTGGTCTGAACATTGTGGAAATTTCAGTTCCACAAGAGTAATTGGTTCTGTATCTTTTTAATGCATTATTTAAGATTTCAGGCACCTTGATTCAAAGATTCTTCTGGTATAATGC